GGCCTGATGCCAGTGATTTTGGGCTGGCTGGCACAGCTTTCCTCTGGTGTGCCCAGACAAATCCATCCCTATATCCTATTCAGATGGGGCTTGCTTTGCACTGAGGGGGACAAGGACTGAGCACTTTTAAAACGAGCTGAATTTGGGCAGAATTAGGGGCAGGGCTGATGACCCCAGCCAGGGGCTTCAGGCACTGCTGATGAGCAAGGTGAGAGCAGAGGAACTTGCAGGCAGCTACAAACCTCATTGCTGAAATACTATAGCAAGAAGAAGGAAATAAAAAAATAAGATGTAATAATAATAAAAAAACCTGAGCTGGCACCTCAAACTCTCAATAGGCGAGACCTTTGCTGAGCATCCCCATGACACACGCTGCTGAGCCCCCGCAGCTGGAAACCACTGGTTTGCTTATCCCGAGACAGGCTGAAACCGTGAACTTCAGCCACACAAACCCCCTGAAGCAGCGACCGGGCTTGCCAAGGCCAGCCCGGGCTGGGCGCCGGCTCAACTCCTCACCTGCGGCAGAGCTGGGCTGGCCACTGACACACCGACCCGTCTCCTGAGGGCTGGTGGAAGTAAAGCCTCGGTCAGAGCTGGGCCCCAGAGTGTCTCCACACCTCCCAAACGCCGTGGGGATTTGAACTTGGCTTTTCAGGACCAGGAGTCCGGGTCCCGGTATCCCGGGCACGGCAGCTCCGAGTCACGATCGCTGCGGCAAGTGGCAGCTCCCGGGGGCAGAACCGGCGGGGTCAGAGCTGCAGAGAGGGGTTCAGAGCTGCTGGGGGGGTCAGAGCTGCAGGGAGGGGGTCAGAGCTGCAGGGAGGGGGTCAGAGCTGCCGCGGGGGATGTCAGAACTGCGGGGAGGGGGGTCAGAGCTGCCGGAACGGGGTTCAGAGCTGCCGCGGGGCGGGCAGAGTTATCGGAGAGAGGGACCGGAGGGCGGCCTGTGGTATGGGACCCTCTGGGGGGGTGGGTACGGGGCCCCGGCTCCCCGCGCACTCGGGCTGGGCTCGGCTTTGCCCCTGTCTCTTATA